TGTGATATATGTAATCAGACACCATATATTCATGCCTATCTTATCTGGCCTAATATTTAATAGATAGTATTCTGGTTTCAATTGTAATTTATATCCCGTGATTTCTAATATCCACCTCTGTATAGATCTCCAAAATTTGATTGCCTTAGGGCAGGTCCACCATACATGATAATAAGTACCTATCTCCCCACACTTCCAACAATTTGGGGAGAGTCCTGGAAACATTTTGCTAATCGAGCAGGAGGGAGATGCCATCTATACACCATCTTATACAAGTTTTCTTTGTAAGTGGTTGCCATCAGAAATTTCAATTGTTTCGTCCAAATTTCTTCCCATTTTATCAATTCAATTGAGTAACCAATATTTCTCCCCCAGGCAATCATTGAGTCTTTAACAATCTCATCCCCTATCCAATAAGTTATTAAGAATTTATAGATCTTAGATAATATTCTTTCCTCCTTTCCTAATATAATACTATCTATTTCTTGCTGGGTCATGTCTATACCACTTTTTTCCTTGTCTTTCTTATATTTAGAGCTGATCTGGGCATAGGACCACCAATCCAATTTTATTCCTTGAAGCTCTAACTCAGTTCTTGTTTTTAAGCAGCCTTGGGCATCCAACAGTTCCTGATAGGATAGGTGTTTTTCTCTATTATAAAGCGAACTATCTGTTGTAGCTTCTAACGGGACCAACCAAGAAGGAGTCGAAAAGTAGAGTTTACCCTTAACTTTCCTCCATGTATCAATTAGAATATTCCTTACATAATGTCCTGCAAAACTCATACATTTTTAAACCTTATCTTGCCAAAGAAAATAGTGCCAACCCTGTTGTAACCCCGAACCTTCCAGAATCAACAACCGTCTTCTTCTCAGCAGGATCCATTCCCTTACCCAAACTAAATTTGCAGCCTGATAATAATATTCCCATTTTGGTAAGCCAAATCCCCCTCTTTCTTTCACCTCTTGAAGCATTTTAAGTTTAATTCTGGGCTTTTTATTTTGCCAGATAAATTTAAGAACACATTGATTTAACTTTTTGAAAAAAGTATTGTCTAGTCTAACTGGTGCTGTATAAAATAAATATGTCCATTTTGGGAGGATATAGGATTTTATACCCGATCCTACCTAATAAAGACATCTGAAGGTTCTTCCATTTCTCTAAATCCTGTTCTGTTCGTTGGAGTAATTTCAAATAATTATCTTCTTTAATTGTTGTGCATTTGGCTGATAATATAATACCTAGATATCGTAATTTATTGACAATTTGGAATCCCAAATTCGCTTCTAATTCCTTCCCCTGCTTTATTGTCAAATTTTTAATAATAACCTTAGTTTTTTCCTTGTTTACTTTTAAACCTGCTACATTTCCATATTTTCCTAATTCATTAATCAAATTTGGACCCGATAAAATGGGGTCTTCCAATATAAATACTAGGTCATCAGCGTATGCTTGTACCTTATATTGTTGGTTTTTAATATGCAATCCTTTTATCCCCGAATTACGCCTATTTTCCTTTTAGTCTGGTTTCTCTTCAGATTGTATAAATCTTTCGCCTTTTTACTTAGGTCTTCATGTGTATGAAATTACTTCTTCTGGCATCAGAAAGATTGATTTTTCAATCACAATATGATTCTAACAATTCTAACAATATTTATTTTCAACAATATATGCTACTGTAGCAATAATATAGAATCAAAGATATGCTTTCCAAAATTCACTAGTCGTTTGATCTAAAGACTTCCAGTGATCACAATGTCTGAAATCAGGAAATGAATTAAATAACATAAATTGAGTTTGTGAACAGACAAGGAAACGGACAATTTACAAGGTCACAATAAACAAAACTTTAAATGACTACTGTTATGAAAAGAGTCTGAAATAAAAAAATAAACACAAGTTACTCAAAATTGATTCTTCCTTCTTCTTCTTCTTCTTCTTCTTCTTCTTCTTCTTCTTCTTCTTCTTCTTCTTCTTCTTCTTCTTCTTCTTCTTCTTCTTCTTCTTCTTTCTCTCCTCTCCTCCTCCTCCTCCTCCTCCTCCTCCTCCTCCTCCTCCTCCTCCTCCTCCTCCTCCTCCTGCTGACGGGCAAAAGCATGGTTGCATTGGAAAAGGAGTTATCAGCTTCAACACATTCAAAGATTTACCAATATTCAGACTTTCTCTGTTTTCTGATTTTCCTGTTGTAGCAAACACTGGGTATGTCTGTGTGGATTAAAGGGAAACTTCTACATCCAATTCTCTAAATGTATTATTCTGACTACCTTGGCATAACAATCAAGATGGCTTACATACAAGGCAAAACACAACGGGGCCTGTTTGAAGAACCTGAAAGTGTTGAGGGCAGAATATACATTTTGAATCTCCTGTTCCTTTTCATTACCTCCTATGTATCTTCTTTCTTTTCCCATTATTTTTGCTCTTTGAAACCAGTGGTTCAGCAAACAGGAATGAGCGGAGAAACCGAGGATGCTCTCGGGATTAAATCTGAATCAATTCCTTTATTGTCCCAGATGAAAAACATTGGTCCATCTGATTGTTCCAAATATTAATTGCATGCTGGATAGAGCTCCTTTGATCTGTGGGACTCAAACCAGCCATCCTTAAAACTACCCCTAATAAAACCTTTGCCTGCTGCTGTTGAATTCACTTAGAAAAAGGCACACTCACTCACTCACACCTTGATGTTCCCTTTCCTTAAGGCCATTTCTGGGAAAGATCCAGCTTGTGAATGGGGTTGATTCCTTCTGAAAAGCACAGCCCTAAAGCTCCTCAGGAGAACAGATCTATTCCAGCAAGGTTTGGTGTGCTGGGGGACCTGGGCAGGAAGCTGAATCAGCATTGAGACTAATGGTTTCTGGAGAGTTGTGTGTAGCTAGATGTTTTGCTCAGCAGGCATCTCTCCTTCTGGAGTAATTCATTTCGATTGTACAAAACAGCTGGACCTCACACAGCTTATTTGCCTGTGTTTTTCTAGTGTGGTTTCCCTTAACCACCCAAGAAATCAATCACCAATTTCCATGGAGAGATTTGCAGGGCGAAAACTATCGCTCATAAAAAGTAAATAGAAGCAATGACGGGAACTGAGTAAGAATGGGGGGGAAATTAAAAACAAATCACTCCTCTCACAATGAAGATTGCCAAAACAACAGAGAAAACATTGATTCCTTGAACTTGTCTCATATTATTTTAACCATCTCTCTCCTTTCCCCTCCTCTCCCTCATTTTTTTTCTTTCTTTCATTGCAAAAGGTGTATTTTGACTGTAAAAAAAAATGGAAACTAGCTTTATGCTAAGAATAGCTGCCTGAGAAATCCATGATGCTGAAAAAGGTGGAAGGAAATAGAAAAAGAGGATGACCAGCAAGAAGGTAGATGGATTCAGTTACAGCAGCAATGTAAGACCAGCTGGGGAAGAACATTCTGGAGAAAACCTGTTTATATGGCCACTAAGAGATGGCACTAAAGTGATGGCACCGATTTGAACAATCAATTGCACATTTGAATTGGACAGAATGTGTAACCAAGGTGTAATCCTGGATAACACCAGGCCCTGAAATTTAGAGAGCTCTTTTTTCATGATTATCTTAAGAGCCAATTGCAAGTAAGTATCCACAGGGAGTGAGAAGGATACCTGGAGTCTTAGGAGTAGATTTCACTTGTTTATTGATTAAAATATCATTATGCATTCTTGGTTCAGGGATGTAAACAGGGCAACTGCCTGATGAATTGATTCTACTGTATGTTGGGTTGCAGAAAAGTCTTGGATAAAGCATCCCTGGCTGTCACAAATAATCATGCTTCCCCCTACATGGTCACATGATTGCACGTTGGATGGGTCATCTTTATAATTGTGGCACATTACACCAATTCTCCGCGAGCTGCACTGGCTCCCTATTGGTCTCCAGTCACAATTCAAGGTGTTGGTTATTACCTTTAAAGCCCTACATGGCTCAGAGCCAGGTTATCTTCGAGACCGCCTTCTGCCGCATAGCTCCCAGCGACCGGTAAGATTCCACAGAGTTGGTCTCCTCCAGGTCCCGTCAACTAAACAATGCTGGCTGGTGGGCCCGCGGAGGAGGGCCTTCTCTGTGGCGGCCCCAGCTCTCTGGAACCAGTTACCTCCTGAGGTCCGGACCATCCCCACCCTATTGGCCTTCCGAAAAGCGGTGAAGACCTGGCTTTTCCAGCAGGCCTGGGGCCGTTGATCGCGCTCTTGCGATCTGGTGAGATCCGGCCATGAACGGCGTGAATGAGTTTTTAATGTTTTTAATTTTTAAATGTTTTTTTATAATGATTTTTAAAAATGTATTGTGAGCCACCCTGAGTCTTTGGAGAGGGGCGGCATATAAATTGCATTAATTAAATTAAATTAAATAGTGACCATGATTTGTGATGTTTTTTGTTGGTTTCCAGCCCTTTTTGCCAGTTTCTGGCAAACCCCCCCCCCACCACTCAAATGGTTGAGTTTGCTTAATGACTGTAAAAAAAGGCTGGAGTTTTGGTCATGTGATTTCTGGTCACATGGGTGCTCGACTAACACACGGTGTTATCACTGTAACAACTTACGACCAGATTTCCAATCCAATTATGGTCATAAACTGAGGACTATCTATATTTAAAGATTCAATTGATTTTCTTGCATTCTTCAATTCTTCCCTTTCCTTGGCAATATAAATTATTGCAAGTCTGTCTCTTGAATTTTAATGAAGTCCCAGCTTCTCCACCATTCCTCTCCCACCCGGTAACCCCCCCCCCCTTTTTAACAAATGCTGAGGACAATGGCAGTCAAAAGCAAAGCTCTTCTTTGTTGCAAAGTATTATAGTCTTCATCTATCTATATCACCCTTTCTTTAAGTTCTATATATAGATCAATGTATCTCCTGGCTAATCTCTTTACATTTGTAAAGCTATTAAATTAATTAATGCAAATGAAAATGGAATTGTGAGTTGGTCCCTGAAGGGTGCGCAATCATTTGACATTTATTTGGAGAGGAAATCTGCTGGTGCAAGCAATTTTTTTTATTTTGAAGACTGCTAGTTCTGATAAGTTTGTTGGTGGAGCCACTTCATTCAGGTCTAGTGTGCTTTGTCCAGGCAGATCATTGTGCAAACAATCTGGAATCTAATGTACTTCTCTGAGAGATCAAAGTTGCTTGTAAGAACATATTTGATTTTATTTGTAGGCTTTACATTTCATGCTTCTGCTCAACAAACACTTGGGGCAGCGCACTGGACGGAAACATCTAGGAAGAAAGATAGTAAAAACGTTAAGATGAAGGTGCAACCACAGAATCCTTTGTGTTCCCTGCTCTTATTTTGTCCCAAAGCATCAACCTTTGAAATATGCTGGGCCAAGCAGGAGAGAGAAAGAGACTGGCCCATGTTCTCCTGATGAGTGGGATGGGCTTGGATCCAAGTGTCCCCATCCTGAGTCCAACCCTTTAATCACTCTACTACACTGGCCTTCACTAGGACTATTGTTAGTCTGTTAGTCTTCCTGTTGTTAGTCTCTCTAACCCCCATACCTTTTACCTTAATCTGTCTACTGTGGATCTTTCACGTTTCTTAAGAGGTCCCTAAGGGGGCGTGCATAAGCGCACCAGTGTGCCTACCGTCCCTGTCCTACTGGCCCCATTTACATGTACTCATTTTATGTGTTTATGGCTCTTCAGCCGAAGAGGTTGTAGAAAAAAGAATGCCTTTAAAAGCCTCTGGCGATCCCAGATGAGTTGCCTGATCGTCAGAGACTCCTGAAAGCATTTTTTTCTGCAACCTCTTAAGGTTGTAGAAAAGGTGCTTTTAAAAGTAAAAAAAAAAAAAAAAGTTGGCCACGTCCACCCAGTCACATTACCCCCACCAAGCCACGCCCACAGAACCGGTAGTAAAAATTTTTAGAACCCACCCCTGACGTACAATGACAATAAAGTTATTATTATTATTATTATTATTGTTAAGTTAGTCACACAGTTAGCCTTCCCCATTGACTTTGCTTGTCAAAAAGTCACAAAAAATGACCACTTGACCCAGGAGACTGCAACCGTCATACGTATGAATCAATTGCCAAGCATCTGAATTTTTATCATGTAACCCTGGGATGCTGCAATGGTCATAAGGGTGAAAAATGTTCGTAGGTCACTTGTTTTAGTGTTGATGTAACTTCGAATGGTCACTAAATGAACTGTGGTAAGTTGAGGTCTACCTACATTGGGATTTACAATGCACAGTGTTTTTTATATGTTTTACCCTCAAAATGCCAGGAAAACATGATGCCACCTTTTGGCAATCACAGTAAGAGTCATGGTAGGCATAGACATGAATTCAGGGGCTGTTGCTCCATCTGCCATACAGGGGGTACCAGGAGGCAGACACAGAATTTCTAATTCTTCTTTGCAAACAGGAGTCTTTATTTCAGGTGGTTGTGCTGGCACCCCAAAGCTAAGATTACAGTGAGGTCATCTTTCCTGCTTTGTATACTGGGGGCATCGGTATTGGTGGTGAGGGGTAGGGGAGAGGGGATGGTTCCACATGAGCATTGGGCGAGCACAAATGGAGCTATGCACTCAATTGCAAGTGCCCACTGCTATGGCAATTGTGCATGCATACTCACCCACTGCTTGCGCAGCCCAGTTCCAAATAGGCCGCATCCTGGTACTGTGTCATGAACCAGGAGTTGGGGACCCCTGTCATAACTGATTCCTGGTGTTTCTATGGAGAAATGCTGTCTCAGTTGTCCTGTCTCTTACTGGAAAGTCTTAGACTATTATGATGCCTTTCCAACATGGCCACCTGTGGCATGACAAGCTATGGATACTCACAAGTGAAGAAAGGAGACAAGATGTGGGAGAAGAATGGGGAGTCACTAGTGTTCAAAATCAGAAGAAAAAAAGACTAAGGATGTACAGACGGATGCCATGATCTCAGAATCCCTTCTGGGCAACTCCTCCAGAAGTTCTGTATTAGTCAAATAAAGACACTCGACATTTTCAAGACTTTTTGACTGAACAGGAGTTTCCATATTTACCTTGCATTTCCCCTTAAGAAATATGCTGCTGCTAACTTGCCTAGAAGGCAGCATGTCTATGGATATTTTCAGTCATTCGGGTCATGGTTGCCACAAAGGTGCTTTTTCAAAAGGCAACTAGACTTTGTTTTTCCTTGAAGATGTTTTGCTTCTCATCCAAGAAGCTTCTTCGGTTCTCACTGAACTAAAGAAGCTTCTTGGGTGAGAAGCGAAATGCCTTCAAGGAAAAACAAAGTCTTGGAGATATGCCCACCATTCAAGTTCTATTCCTTCCTCGAACAAATTTTTCCTAGATTTCAATTCTCCTCTTTCATTTAATATATCATTGTAAGTGATTACTCTTCCTAATTTAATAAAATTTGGATGTGTGAACATCTCCAAAATCGATAGCCAATTTGGGATTTCCATATAGTTACCTTGCTTAGTTTTAACTCAGACATCTAGTAGTGCTCGTCTGATAAAGTGCTTCTGGAAATATTGGTGGGTCTTATATTTCTCTTCCCAGAGGAGAGCATGCCACCCTATATGCATTTTGTGGCCTTCCAGTGTTAACAGCCTCCTATTTTTTAGAAGTATCCAATATCTCACCCAAAGTCCAGTTGTCTTTTGAAAAAGCACCTTTGGGACTAGAAGGCAACAGAGCTCCATCCTCACTTCCTATTTCCCTTCAGGGAGAGACTCCCTTTTTTGTATTGACAAGGCACGATTTTCTCACAGTTCTTTCAAAATGAGAGATGAATTCCTGGCTGTTAAATGAGCCTGTCTGAGGGAGATGTTATTGCCTCGAGGATTTCTCATTTTCCCCAACTCAGCTTCGTGGGACCTGGCAGATATTTTTGGCAAGGATGAGCTCATCAAAAAGGAATGTAGGTATCTTCTGATAGGATAATAAGCCTAAAGAGCTGATTAGGTGCAATGGAAACTGTGTCAGTTTCATGTCAGCGAAGAGAATGTGGCCGAGTTGTGAATTAATCTTTGACTGACAGTTTGGGATTACAGGCTGACAGCTGATCAATCACTAGAGGTGATGGGAGAGGGGAAATCTTCCCTTATCACAGCCCAACACTGTTACTGAGGGAACCTTATACACGGGGAAGGAGGAGAAGAAAATGATTGCTGGCAGATAAGCGAATGGCATACAGACTCCAAAAGGGCGCAAAAGATCTGAAGAAGTATAGAAAGGCCACCTTAAGAAAGTGGGATGACCCAGATTCTGATGGATGATGCCCATATCTTCCTGGTTTGCATTTGTGGCACATGTTTAGATTGTTGTAGTTTATTTGCTGATGGGGACACTGAGAGAAGTGTTACAATTTGGGACAAAGAGGTGGGCCACTAACCGGATGCATGTTGTCCTCCAACTTCACTGTTGCTGGAGTTGCAGAAAAAGATTCTGGAGTTATCCGGAGGGCATGTTCCTTTATGGTTGCTTCCATGGTATTGGAGTTTGTAAAAGAATCTGAAATACAGGAAAGTTGAAAGTATTGACTAGGTAACAAGAGAAATCCAGGCTCTTAACTGTGTTTATAGAATTGAGTGCTTTATATTAAGAACCAATGGTGGAGATTAATGTTGGCTATTGTAAGACTTTACAGTAGATACTGCAATAAATTTCAATTCTCTAAGAATTCAGCCCTGTTCAGTAGCTGGCTAACAGCACAAACACAGTTTAGAGAAATTACTTTAGTACAGACAAAGAAGAAGTCACATATACACAAAACCTCTGCCCAGAACAACACAGGAATCTATCTATCTATCTATCTATCTATCTATCTATCTATCTATCTATCTATCTATCTATCTATCTATCTATCTATCATGCTGAATAGGTAAGTCCTGACCACAAACTGGAAAGTTTTTCATATAAAGACAGACCTAATATCAGGATAAATGGTAACTAGAACATATTATTTTCTGATTATTTCTGCAAAAAGAATTCCAGCCCACTCTATCATGTATTCTCCTGGGAACTGGGAAGGTACAAATGGAAAGAAAGAAGATGACACTCTTTTCCCTGGAGCATAAGAAAATTGTGTCTCCACTGCAATTTTTTAAGATAATATTTCTATTCTATTTTTCTGATTATTTAGATAGCTGGGGAAGTAGACAAAAGATGAAAGTTTAACATGCTACTAACTTCTTAAAAGCTACCAGGAAAAAGATAACAATAGAAAGTATTCATTCATTAACCTCAATTCAGTTTTATTCAGTCTTCACCTCTGCACATGTGTTGGACAATAGTTCCCAGAAATTCCAATTACAAAGACTATCATGCACACATAACTAGTGAGTTAGGGCTATGGAAAGCTACTTAGATATTAGAACTTGTATTGGTATGAATGTGCAACTGAAAGCTTTCATGATACTTATTTTATTTTAGATTTTGTATCCCTTTATTATTTTTTATAAATAACTCAAGATGGCAAGCATACTAACACTCAGAAGAGGAACTTATGAAATTTGCAGATAACACCATGCTGGCAGGAATAGTTCCAAAAGATTGGCTCAAGATACAGAAAGATTTCGACAGAGTTGAACACAATGGTGAAAAAAGAGGTTTTTAAGAAGAGATTGGATAACTCTTTGTCTGAAATGGTATAGGATTTCCTGCCTGAGCAGGAAGTTGGACGAGAAGGCCTCAAAGGTCCCTTCCAACTTTGTAATTCCCCGCAAGAACAATCTAGTAGGGTGGGTTAAGCAGAGAAATAGGGACTGGCCCAAAGACACCTATCTGTCTCATCTATCAGTGAGGACTAGAACTCACTGTCTCCTAGTTTCTAGCTTGATGCTTTAATCACTGGACCAAACTGGCTGCCCAAGGATATTACCTGCCCCATGACCAGTACTTTAGGAATTAGGACCAAGCATTATCCAGTATTTTGGTTCTTGGAGTAGGAAAATTAAATCTTGGAAAAATGGAACCATTGGACAATTGTGTCTCTAATATAATTTTCAACATCATTTAATCATCTTCATTCAAGTTAATCCAGTTAAAAATCCAGATATAATATCTAATCTTAAATAAATAACCAAATCTTCCTGGCAGGTATTTCTAAAAAAAACCTCTTATCACAATAGCATTAAAAATCTTGTTTAATTCTTATTGAGAAAGAGTGATTGTTAATTCAGTACATAACTGTTTCTATTTTAATTATCTCTGCATTGAAGATTATATATTGTTCTGTTTTGCCTTGAATTGTGTGTTATATTGAATATTTCCAATATTTAGGTTTCGATGATGTAGATAGCCAAAATGTCACCAAAAGAAATAGAAAGAGAAATGAGCAAGATTAGTTCTTTCCCTAATCTTGCTCATTTCTCTTAACATAAAAAATGTTAAGAAGAAACTCTCAGATCAGTGAAACAGTTCAACAAGAGGTTAGCAAGTTAGAACATCAACTGGGTTTTGAGTGTGAATCTGTGCACGTGAAATACAAAACAGAAGGCCATATGGTAAACCCTTGATTTAACAGAGTAATGAGAAGAAGACTCTGTCAGACCCATATTTTCATTAAATGGACAAATGAGAGGCAAGTTAAGGATATTTTATGCCTATGAAAAACAATGAATAAATTTTGTCTGATGCATCCAAAGTCCACTAAATCAGGTAAACCGGGGACTTTGTAACACCATAACAGAATTGGAAGGGTCTTTGGAGGTCTTCTAATTCAGTGTAGTCCATTCTATCCCTCTGTTAATGCAGCCTAGGACTGTGTTGGCTTTTTTGGCAGCTGAAGCACACTGCTGGCTTGTATTTAAGTGGTTGTTCACTAGGACTCCTAGATCTCTTTTGCAGTTACTGCTATTGAGCCAGGTACCACCTATTTTATACCTGTACATTTGGTTTTTCTTCCCTAACTATAAAATCTTACTTCTCTCACCATTAAATTTCATTTTTTTTAAGCTAAGGCCCAGGGTTCAAGTCTATCAAGATCCTTATCTTTTGGGATGTTGGCTATTCCCACCAGCTTAATGTCATCTGCAAATTTGATGAGTTTCCTTTCTATCCCCTCATCTAAACCATTTATGAAGATGTTGACAAGTACTGGCTTAAGACAGAACTTTGTGGTACCCTCACTACATACATCCCTCCATGTACAAGTAGTTCCATTGAGGATTATAGATTGAGTTTATTATAACTGAAATTCTGAGTCACTGCTTGGTGCAATCTTTGGTTGTAGATTGCACTCATTTTTATGACATACGGTAATTTTTGCAGTTTTGGCTTATACCAATATCTTCCTATTCTCCAATCATGGTATAAAACAGTGTATAGAAGCAAGGTGAGACATTGCTGCCCTGGAAAATCCAGAGGTTTACCATTAGTTACTAAGAGACCAAGGCAATGGCTATTGTATTTTAGGTGGTATATGACTGCTTTAGATCAGGTCCAGATCATGGTTAGTAGTTAGGAGAAATATAGGATATGCATGTTTAAATACACATTTTCTTTTTTATATAATTTCACCTATCTATCTATCTATCTATCTGTCTATCTGTTGGAAGAAAAAAAGAAGCCTTTCCCTTTAGGGATTGTTGGAAGGCAGAGTTTCAAAACTCCCGGCTGGGAGATTACTTCGAAATGATTGGAGGTCAGCTGCTTGAGAGCAGAATTAGTTTATTGTTTATAGGAAAGCAGGCAAGAAACAAATACATGCACAGCATTCCAAGGCTAGCCTATTTGAACTGTAAGAAAAACCCTTTTTTATATCCTAAAAGGTCTTTTGATTTTCGATGTGACCCTTTAAAGTCTTTTGAAATTCTTTTGATTTGCCATGCGAATCCTTTGATTTGTGTGTGTGATTGTTTTATGGTGTTTAAATTCTGCTTTTTGTGATTGGGTTCTTCCATCCTAGATCTGGCAAATAAGTAATTGTTTTATAGTCCAATCTCTGTTTTTCCTAGCCCTTTGTAGTTCTTCCTTCCCTATAATTAATCAGTTTGCTATTACTGTGTTTTAGTGAATATCTCCTTTAATCACGTGTTTAAAATTCTAATTACTTTGGCTTGATTTCTTTTTCTTTTTCTAGGAGAAGAGTGAATAATATATTTCAACATCTCTCTCTCTCTCTCTCCCTCTCTCTCTCTCTCTTTCTCTCTCTCTCTCTTCATACCTACCTTCCTATTTGCCTACCTGCCTGCTTCTCTCTATCTCTATCTTTGTTTCTTTCTCTCTCTTTATCTTTACCTTAATATATACATATTTTGGGCTATTATTGAAATCAGGATATAACTTTCAGAGGGATTTTCACTCAGTTCTGTTTTATTTTAGAGCTAGATTTGTGAAGTGTAACATGGGTAAGTTTGCATGAAAATTTTCATTGAAAACCTGACTGTATCTCTACAAGTAATCACTGAAATATTCCCAATTGTTCTAGTTTTTGCTTCCCCCCCCCACATCCTTTTTTGTTCCATTTGTGTAAACAAAACATGTAAGGCTATGCAGCAACCTCTTGCAATACAGCCCTGCTCTCTAGAGCTCAGGAAAGCGGTGGAACATTTGTTTTCACTCTCCCCTTTTATGTGGCCTTACACTGAAAATCTTTTACACGGATAATGAGAATTTGCTGTGCAAAGGAAATTCTGGAGCAGGAAATAGGAATTTGAACATTGGTGCCAATTGCTGTAATCCAGAAGCGGAAGAATTAGATGAAGAGTTGTGGTGGTGAGGATAGGCATCAAACCACAAAAGAGAATGTTTGCCAGAATAAAATGCCTTCTTCCCTCAAAAATGCAACATTAAGACAATATTGCACAGGTGGTCCTTGAATTATGACCATAATAATTGGGACTGAAACAGTGGTGAAATCCAATTTTTTTTACTACTGGCTTGGTGGGCATGGTGTAGTGTGGCTTGGTGGGCATGGCTTGGTGGGCATGGCAGGGGAAGGATACTGCAAAATCCCCTTTCCCACCCCACTCCAGGGGAATGATACTACAAAATCCCCGTTCCCTCCCCACTCTGGGGCCAGCCAGAGGTGGTATTTGCCAGTTCTCTGAACTACTCAAAATTTCCACTACCAGTTCTTTGAACTGCTTAAACTTTCTGCTACTGGTTCTCCAGAACCTGTCAGAACCTGCTGGATTTCACCCCTGGACTGAAACATTGGTTGCTAAGCGAGGTGGTTGTTAATCGAGTTGCACCCAGTTTTACACCTTGTTTTGCTGCTGTTAAGTGAATTACTGTGGTTGTTAAATGAATCATACAGTGGTTGAGCAAATCTGGCTTCCTCCACTGACTTTGTTTGTTGGAAGCTATCTAGGAAAGTCTCACCTGGCCCCAGGACACTGCATCTATCATAAATATATGCCAGTTGCCAAGTGCCTGAATTTTGACTGTGTGACCCTGGGGATGCTGCAATGGTTGTAAGTGTGAGGACCAGTCATAAGTATCTTTTTCAGTGTCTTTGCAACTGCAAATGTTCAGCAAATGAATGAATGGCTGTAAACTGAGGACTACCTGTAAAGTATTGTATGGCAGGGATAGTTTTGAACAGCTGGTCAACCACAGATTTCCAACACGGTGCCCTCAAGCACTCCAGCACTGACAAGAAGCCTTTTATGAGATTGACTGGACCTGGAGGCAGATGAATAGAATAGAAAAAATAAAAATAGAAGAAAAATG